TGGCCCTGCCCCACCAGCCTCTGGCCTGGGCAGGGCTGATGAGCAGCTGCATATAGGAGTCAGGAGGCCTGGTGGGTCCCTCTGTGCCCCACTTTCCACTGCTGGTTTCTGGATCCAGGTCTGGCTCACGCCCCTGGGGCCAGGCTGCACTCGGGTACTGGCTGCAAACAACCCTGTGGCCCCACTTTGCCAAACCAGCTGGGGTGCCCTGGGGCTGACGCCGCTCCACGGTCCCCCCCAGCTAGGCCCCAGTCCTGGGTCCGTGGCAGCGCGGCAGGGACTGATCTCCCCCTCCCTTCCCGTGCGCCGAGCTCCGGCTGCCGGAAGGCTTGGCTCAGACTGCTTCCTTCTCCCGCCCCTGCGCCCTGCATTGTCCGTAACAGCAGGCCATAGAGAGCAGCTTGGAGCATGCATGCGGGGGGACCGGGACCCTGGGCTCCTGGCACCGGTCTCTGCTCCCCCGTGGGGGTGGATGCGGACGTGGACGCGGACAGACCGAATGCCTCTCCAGGGTTCGCAGCAGCCAGCGCTGTCCAAGCCAACTGCATTAGTGCCAGGGCGAAGGTTTAGTTTCCCTCCCCCCGGTGAGACGTTCCCACTGCCAGTCTGCATTCCCGTCGCTGGGTGCCCAGCCCTAGACACCCCCAGCGAGATCCCTTTCCTGCATGGCTTGTGGGGGTGTTGGGAGCCTCGGCTAGCGCTGAAGCCACTGGGACCTGCTCCCAATGCATGAAGTCTTATTAATGAGCAGTAACTGCGGGGTATGTCTTACAGGGGAGGGATCATTTGGGATCCACATACCTGACCCTAAGCAGAGACTTCCTCTCTGTGCTCCAGGGACTGCTGCAATGCCTGGACTGATGCTGGCCAAGCCTTTATACTGTATCCAGATGAGCAAAACTCAGCGGCTAAAAGGCCCGATCCCACTGATAGCAGCAATGATGATCCAAATAATTAGTACCTATTTTAACTTGAGCTATTTTAACTTTAATTTGAGCATCAAGGACAATAAAAAGTCCTTTTTCAGATATGTGGGGAGCCGGAGGAAAAGCAGGGGCAACATTGGACCCCTGCTGAA